ATTTATCTATTTATTTAGAAATCTAGTGTTTTCAGTGAATGGACACAAATGATTAATATAATGGGACTTAATGACGGCTGCGCAAATATATATTCTCTTTTATATTTTATATAGCAAGCCAAGACTTGCTTCGGATATTCTATAATGTGACTTTTCTTAAATAGAAAATATTGAAACAAACAATACAGAATATAACAGGTGTTAATTAAGTAATATAGGACTAAACGCTCTTGATTACAGAGCTCGAGGTATCTTTTTCTGTTTCATTTAGAATGAAACTGGTCTTTTCTACTAACTTATACATAGCACTGAATTTAAGTAGCAGTGTTTCTGTAAATCGCTGATTAATATTTTTTAAGACTTCCCGTTAAAAAGTGAACTTCTTTTAAATTTTGAAAAATAATTTGAAAAATTTCAGTAAAAAAAGATAGCCTTCCTGAAAATTATAGCGGCCAAGGTATGAACTCTTTTAACAATATAACAAAGCAATGAAATTGAAACGCGATTCCGAAATAAAGGAGTTTTTGTTAAAAAATAACAAATTTTCTTGGTTTTAAAATTCATGCACTTAACAGTATAATAATATACATATAAAAAATGATTAGTTCAAATTTGATTGGTTTAGAGCTTTGCAATTCTTAAGAAATCCATGTGTCAAAAATAGGAAATCCCAGTGCCAAAAAAAAGCAAATCTATAAATATAAAAAATTTGAAACTGATTTGGAAACAACATGCATGCGATCACGACTGCGCTTGAATTTTGTTCATTGTATAAATAATTTAGCATATAATAATTATGTAGGACGTGTTTCTTAATTTTTATGCATATTATTAATAGGTAATAGCATAGATTCTCGTGCAATTTGGAAAAACATACACTCAGTTTTTCAAAGACTTCAATTTGTACTGGTAATTGCACTTCAAAATTCACTTGCAAAAACTCACTCGTGCATGTTTTTTCCAAATTGCACTCCAAACCGTGCTATTACCTATACAAATCAGTAGCCAAATCCCGAATAAAATATAGGCACTACATGTTTAGATCAGGGGTCCGTTGTTCAAAATTAGGTTAAAGTGCCTATATCGCTCGTGGGATCTTTATGCATTTGAGAAGAACGTAAAAAGTTGGTTAATATGTTAAAAAACGTTTTTTGATTTAGTGGAATAATTTCGAAGATGCAAGCCTCTAAACTACTTGAAGTTTAGGTACAGACAAGCACCTTTGCTTCTGATCTGCATGATTTATCTCATCCAAGTAGAAGGTATATTTCCATAGTTTTTTAAAAGAAACAACGCAGTTTTATAGGTACATACAAGTGTATTTGGTGCTTTGCCAAATTCCCTCTTTTTTTGGCCTGAAATTGTTTCTTATCAGCTTTTTCATTGTTTGAGTAAGTTTCCAATACTGCATGTCATTAATGATCTTTTAGCTTGATTACGTTTTGATTATTTCAATGAGGTATTGAAATATATTTCGATTACATAATGAGGTATTTTTACCGTTTCTGTGGGAAAAAAACTATCATGCTTTGGTCCGTACATTGTAAATCTCACGGAATTAATATCTATATAGTAGTGACTCTGTGATGGCTGAATAATATTTCTTAAAGGCTTGCCGTTAAAATGGAACTCCTGCTAAATTTTGCGATTCTCTTCTTCAATTGCTCATTGAAATTTCAATGAAATAAGATTAACATAGTAATATTATTATATGATGAAATTGTTGAAAAATAAAGTGTTTCAGTTGCAATGAACGTATTTTTTTACAAAAAACAATATTAAAAACAAAACGATGAACTTGGAACGTGACGAGTATAAAGTACTTTTTCGTTAAAAATCGCATTTTTTTCTTTAAACGCTTTCGTTTAAAAAAGGCATTTTTTAAAATGGACTCCAATGATACATAAATCTTTTATTGAAATATTTTCGTGCATGCAAGCAGAGCTATGGAAAGAGTATTAGCTATATCATGTTTTCGTTTCATTAGAACAGTACATTAAATAACTGACGTTTCAGTATATGCGGCAGATCGAGAGACTTAAATATTAAAGTAATTCTCTATTAGTATTGAAACAAGCTTACCTTAAGATTTTTATGGAAGTTCTATGTAGTGTTTCACGGTTTTCACAACCTGTATGCAACAAAGCAAAATAAGCTGCGTATGCTGTTTACAGTCACATATCCCGTTTAAACGAGCAATAAAATATGTATATCGATCGAAAATGTTGTTAGCACATTAAGATAGAGCGTTTTGATTGGTTCATGAGTGGTCGCAGAAGCTACTTTTCTTGCAGGTGTTCATTTATTGCTTTGAATATTCCGTTATCTTAATTATACGATACGGTGGCCGATAAGAGCCACCTCTCATTCATAGAAATGCAACTGTGCTGCATACAAGTGCGGTTGTGCGCATATAGAAATTCAGCTGCGCTGCATACAAGTGCGGTTGTGCTGCATATAGAAATTCAGCTGCGCTGCATAGAAGTGCGGTTGCGCTGCATAGAAGTGCGGTTGTGCTGCATAGAAATGCAATTGTGCTGCATACAAGTGCGGTTGTGTTGCATAGAAATGCAATTGTGCTGCTCAAGCGCGGTTGTGCTGCATAGAAATGCAATTGTGCTGCATAGAAGTGCGGTTGTGCTGCATAGAAATGTGACTTTGCTCCATAGAAAGTGTCGCGAAAGCACGAAAATAAAAATAATATACACTTAATGTATGCATTAATAGACTACTTTAAAAATAGCGCTTTTTAATCGCTATACAGATCTTCTATTTATAATCACAACATTGACAATTTCAATTGCTCTCAAACTACAGCTCAAACAGGAAATTCCATTGCAGTAAAACAATGAAATATTGCAGTAATTGTGTGTGGGGGGGGGCGGGGGGTTTCCACAAGAAACAAACTTTTGTTCCAACTGTGAAAGGATGTTGCTCACCATGAGTAAGTATTTTATTATTTATGTAGATCATTTATGAATTGAAGTAGAAAATTATTGGGGGATGAAGTCGAAATGCTGCCTCAATTAGCCTTTCTTACGATGATGGGTTGGGGTACTTTCAATTTTCTGATATGCGTTTAAAAATTATCATTTAACATGGAAAGCAATTTTTTTAGAATCCACAGACATTTGAGGAATAAATTCAGCCTAAAATTAAAGACTGTCGCCCTCGCACGTTCTTACGGTCAGGGTTTTGAAAAAAAGTACCCCCAAAATGGCGGCATATTCGTCATGGTGAGAAAGGCTAACTCAAGTCAACATTGTGCATTGTTAACACTTTAAAATGATTTACATGGACTTAAATATACTATTATTTGTATAATGGGGCGTAACACAAAACGGAAGCCGTAACAATCTTGCTATCTTCTACATCTCCGTCTGATTATGTTACATTATATCGTTCATAATATTATACGGGTTGCATATCATGAACTACAACCCCTTTGGGATGATTTGCCCAAAGTACGAAGTAATAAATTAATTGTTCGATATTTAAGATCAGACCGTAGTTAAGTTCTGGAAAATACAACTGGTGTCCTCCGGCAGGAGTCAGATCTACAACCGTCGACATGTTTAAAGCAAACCTACGTTATCTACGCTACCATAAGCTACAGAGAGTGTTTCTTACCTTCAGAAAACTTTTTATCGCGCAGTGCTTAGTTTTTTGGCGAGACTGAAACTTTCGAAGAAGCGCACGTTTGATGCTGCGGCTTTTATTTTAGAAATTGTCCCCGAGCGGGCGCGGAGCGCCTGCCAGGGTACTAATTCCGCTCGGAGATTAGGAATTACACCCGGAACCCGGTAGAACATAGCCGAATCCAAAGTTGTCCAAATTCTTTGTCATGGACGGTCGACGTTGGGTGGTTTTGTAAGTTATGCGCATGCGCGAGTAACATCTGGTAATCAACGAACGTTCGGATTGGCTAAGACAGAAAGTTTGTATTTCAATGAGAACGTCAGCAATTTATATTAACTGTCATTTCGTAAACATTTTTGTAAAAGCGTTTCATAAACTTTGTGCAAAGAAAGTAAAACGAGAAGAAACAAGATATATGAAGCATGACAGTTAGCAAAGATGAACGTGGATACAGTCAAAACAAAGCCGTGTAAGAGGAATAATTCATAATCTGCAAGCTTATAATGTTTTCAAAGACAAAGGGTACGTGTTTACTTTGTTTATCTCAAACTTGTTTCGCGGTAAGAATGAGCCGTATTTGTATACTTTTCGGCTTTGTATGCCGTTTATTTGTTAAATTTTCATTTTTTTATGCAAACGCATAAACCTGTGAAAGGCTATTACACCTTTGCTTTAACTTCAAAAAGTGTTATTTGAAAGTGTAATTTGAATTTTGGTATCAAAAATACACACTATATTTATAAAGTATCAAACTTTTAGCCGCCGGCGTCGACTGCAATTACAGAATAAAATAACATTTGAAGTTTTTTCTTTGTCTGTGAAGATTTTGTACTGTTTTAATCGTTTGAAACTTCGATTTTAAACCGTTTCTTAATTGCTGGCATGGTATAATGCAGCAAAATTGAACGGGCAATATTTACACTACTTTTCTGATTATTTTTGTATTGAATGATGGAAACATTAGCTATAATATACTCGGTAAAATATAATAGGACTGATTTGAGTTTTGTGTCATTTCATAATATAAGTTTAGGTCAGGTTAACTCAGGAAATTGTGTACTTGGTTTGAAATAGCGAGGGGTTGCTGCATGCATGTATTTAACAGTTATTCTGCGAACTCGAGTCGTATATGCGCTGATAGCTGACGAGGCGCGTAGCGCCGAGTCAGCTATCAGTCATATACGACGAGAGTGAGCAGAATAACTGTTTTATTATATACACAAGCGACAGAATAAAAACAATTTTCAAATTTATTCGTAATATAATTAATAACTGAAATATTTTACTTAGTAATTCAATAATTCAACCTTCTTACTTCCGTCATGTGCAATGAACTGAATACTTAATTAATCAAGCACGGCATGCAAGTTCGATCGCTTTGAAATCATTATAAAATCAACATTACTGAACAATTTTTAACAGTTAAAAACGTCTTTGCGACCGATTAAAAGAATGAAATCCATGAAGCTCAGTTATAAATGTTAACTGTACAGTTTTGAATTTGAAACACTGGACTTGAAGCCGTAAAGTTCTTCGCTTGATTTAGTTGGATCGCTTGTTGCTGTTTGTTGACAACGGTAATTTGATGGTCGTGTTTGGCGGATGAAGCAGAAATACAAGATTCTCGTTGAACCTGATTCTCTTTGTCCTCAAGTATGGTTGAAGCAGCTACCGATTCGCTCTGGCTGATGTAGTTACTCAAAATCGAAGACATAACTTCTTGTTGACTCGAGGATGGCCGGCTGCTGTATGACTCGATCGATGTGTCGGATTTGTGGCCAGTGATTGATTTGATTAAACGGGTCTCAACGTTCGCGTTTGCTAAGACCGTTACGGATGTGGCCCTAATGGAGTGGTTAGTTAAGGGTGGTTCGATACCTGCTCTTTTTGTCATGACACGAAGCAAATTGCCGAGAGTCCTCTCACCGACAGGGGAATTTGCATACCAGATCAGGTTGTTGACATCAAATTTGTTGGCATTCGCGTCTTTTGGACGCTGGAACAAGCTCTCACAGGCTGGGTTAAGATGCTTCAAATAATTCTTGATTGTTTGGACAGGACAGGTAGAAGAATCTGGTATGCTATAGATTTTGCCGTCGGATTCGTCTTCGGGATCGTAGAGACCACCTTGGTGATTTTTTGTTGCCAAAACAGAACCAGCAACTTCGCGATTTAACTCATAAAAGTCCTTCCCGTCTGGTGTGGACCTCAAGATCAGCATGTTTGGCTTCAGGAGCCGTTGGTTTTCTCGACCTCTTTTCCCAAAGTAAAACCAAACTGTGCGAAACAGTTGTGCGGGGTCTAACGTGTCGGCGGGACCTAATTCACCGGAACGGAAGAGCTGCTGAATTTCTTCTTTGGAAATTGGTTTCTTGTGAACTGTGCCAGCTATTTTCCCCGACTTTCTTAAATCTTTGACAAAGGCATCAAGAACTTCGTTCGCTTCGGCAAAGGTAGGGTCACCAACTATGCTAAACCCTTTTTTACACTTTTTCTTTAAAAACCTTTCGATGGCAGCCCTAATAGCTTTCATTGTTGTTTTTTTGTAATACGAGCCGTCTTTCTGCCTGGCAGACGTGTAGAACTGCTTTAAGCAATTATTTAATTCTGCTTTAGACATCTCTGTTATGTACTTGTCAAATTTTTTTGAGCTCGTGAACCATTCTGGAAATAGAGCAAAAGGAAACCGAAAATTTCATTATTAAATGCCCTTTGTTTACAAAAGTTGTATCGTGGTTTTTTGTACGTTTTAATTGCAGAAAAACATAAACAAAACCGTATATTTTGTAAACCTAGTTTTAACCTACCGTCGAATACTTTTATTCCAAAATTTGTCGTTCTTTCAGTGCATTTTGGCGTGCTTTTCTCAAGTAAAACTTGAATTTCTGTTTCGCTTAACTCCCCAAATCTTTCTGCCATTTTGTTTACTTTTCTCTACTAGACATATATGAGCTAATATCTGTCTAGTAGGGAGCCAATCAGATTGCACATTAGCTCATATCTGTCGCTTGTGTATATAATAATTCTAGTTATGTGTATTCTGGCGTTTGCACATGCTTAAGGATTAAAGTATTGAGCGTGCTGCTACTGATTTCAACAAATTCCACCCTATTTTCAGCTACATTAAACATAGCTACTTTAGCGGTGAGTCTACGGATGATATTTTGGCATTTTCAAGCACATTTTTATTCACACATAAAATGTCTTCATGAGATAAATCTATGTAGTGTAACGACGATTAGCCAACTTTGGCAAAATAATATATATGCCCGAGCCGGTGCGGAGCACCGTGCGAGCACTGGCGTAGCTAGCATCGATAATTGGGGGGGTCCATATTCATATATTCATGTAAACAGACAGTAAAGACAATTGATTTGAAAGGAAATTAATCCTGCGTATCACGAATATATGAATATGGACCCCCCCAATTATCGTCCTGGCTACGCCGCTGCGTGCGAGGGTACTAATTCCACTGGGAGATTAAATACACCGGAACCGTAGCGGAATCCAAAGTTGTTCAAATTCTATGTGATGGACCGTCGACGTTGGGTGGTTTGGTAAGTTATGCGCATGCGCGAAATTTGAAGGAATAAAGACTTGTAATCAGCAATGTCCAATGAAATATTTCACAAAGTTTTAAAACTGAGCTTATTTTTTTGGTAATGGATACTTGATATGTTGTTTTGCAAAGATAAAACCGGCTACGAAGAGCTATCACACTATTGTTTTACCATTGTTTTACCATTGTTTTACCATTGTTTTACCATTGTTTTACCATTGTTTTACCATTGTTTTACCATTGTTTTACCATTGTTTTACATTGAAAAGGGTTAAATTTTGATAAAACAACAAATGCCAATTTAAAGCTTTTAAAGTCGACCGCGAATATTAGCAGCATATTCAAAGAACAACATTAATTTTGACGTTTAGGCCCTGAAGATTTTGTATTGTTTTGAAGTTTTGAAGGTTGAACTTTTAATCATTACCAAGCTGCAAGAGTCTATAAATTGTAAATGGGGCTTAAACTCATAAATTTCCAGCTTCAAGCAGCTAAAAGACAGGTGATGTTTAATTGCACTTTAACTATATTATACATTTGATTACGAATAGCTGTAAATTAGTAATTAGCTCATTTGAGTCATATCATATAAATATAATTTTAGTTTTTCCTAGCTCAGGAAATTGGAAATTGGATTGGATTAAATGGGCCAAGTATTGCTGCATGCATGTATTTCTAGTTAAAATATGAATTTTGCATGTATAAGCATTGCACGTATTAATTAGAGTACTTTAATTTGTATGCATACATTTACGCCATACTAGTCCCTAGTCCTCCTTAGCGCGGCTTGCATTCTTGAGACGTCACCGGTTTGAACGTGCGGGAGAGGACTAGCAAAAAATGTTTTGAATTCTTATTCAAAAATCGCGGTAGTACTGATCTCAAAATATTGAATCAGGGACAAAGTCAGGGACAATTTTTGAGATCCCAACATTTTTGTGCTAGGCCTCTGAGTGTGGGCTGCCCCTTCATAACTAACAGAGCGCGCTTGCAAGGCCTGGGACCAGGCTGCATTTAGGCTACCTTCACAACGTAAGACCGCCTTCATTCTCCGTCTGGATCTGATTGCCTTCATCATTGTCCTAATCACTATGCTGTCGTTCTGTAAGTTATAAAAAATCGGCAATCTGCAACAACGACGAGGCCAAAAACTGTGAACTGCTACACATCTTAGGAACAGAAAATTCTAAGTATCTCGAAAAAAAAGAAAGCTACGAGTATTATACCATCATGCATGCTAGAACCAGTTCGTCTAATTAAGTCGATCGCAAATAATTCTAGGGCTATTTTTAACTTTATAAGCTCATTTCTTGAACGCCGGAATGCTATAACTAAGAATACAACAACCACCAAAGCACAAGAACAGCACAACTCTAAGCAAATATGTATGGAAATTGAAGGACGCTAAAGGTCCTGTTACACGGTACCATTTTTCTTCCAACTTGCAATGCAATTCTACTTTTGAGAGATGTGTATTTGGGAACAACGAAACTTTTGTGTTTATCACACTTCACGCACATTACTTCTGTAAGACTCTTCACTATTTTACATCTCTTAGAAGTGAAATTGCATTGCAAGTTGCAAGAAAAATTGCACCGTGTAACATGGCCTCAACGTCGGGTTAAATTATTATTACATGGAAAATAATTAAGAAATGTAACGCGTATTCATATGATAACCTGTTTATCACACATACTCGAGTGCCTTTAATCAGCTCTGACCTCAAGTTCACTATTATTGAGAAGAAATAAGGCTTTAAATCATTTTGGTTTATAGCAGTAGCTTTCAAATCTTTTTGCCGGACCTCAATATATCTTTCAGAGTAACGTGGCCAGAAATGCAGGCCATGCATGCGTGATTTAGCGCAAATTTAAAAATCCGATATGTCGTTCCGTATAAGATATGTGTATGGAATTATTAAAATTTTATCTCTATGTAACCCACAATTGAGAAGTCATGTTTGTCCACGCCCAAAACATAAATTTGATCGACCTTTAAGTCTTTAACCACTAATCTTTAAGTCTAGATGCCTGTGTATGTCCCCAAGAAAGAATTTTTGTGGATAAAAATTGTACATAAAAATATATACTCCGAGAGAATATGTGTTAGTATTTGCTTTGGAGGTAAATAAATCTCGTAATACTTGTCACAATTAATAAGCGTGCAAGTGTATTGTCATAAGCCTGCAGGCTGGTTGAGCTAACTTTTGTATTTCTTATAGATGGAAAGTTACAACCATACGAGACCAAATTTAGGTGCCGGAATGTGCTATGAATTAATATCATTTCCTATACAGGATCAGTTTTCTTGCCACTCCCTCTAAAACACATGAAAACATTTCGCCTACAATTATATGCATGCATGCAGGGCAATGCCTATATTTAGGCATATAGATAAGAAGAATTTTGAGTCTTTAGTATTTGCTTTGAACGTATAGAATTTTTTCTATAATAATTATTGTCGCATGTGATTCTTGAAATACATCAATTCATTTCTGGTTTCATCGCTGACTGTTACCGTTATCTATTATATAATTTAAATAATAAATTTAATTTAATTCAAATAATTTAAAGGGAATGATCGCCAAATTAATTACGTCGTGGAAGGATTCATGAAGTATGGTCAAACGGTACAAGATTTAGAACTTTTCTTTCAAAAAAAAACATCGAAAGAGTTGTTTCATGCCTTTAACATAGCTCTTACTTATAAAGTGATTCGTTTTTTTCCCATAGAATGGGGGTATAACGCTAAATTTTGAAGAGGGTATGCGTGATTTCATTGTTAATGGAAAAGGCGTTGGTATTCAAGGACAGGTGTAGTTATTTTTACTCTCTTAACTATTTCATTACCTGAGAAAAAACGAGGATTATTTTTTTAGGGTTTTATATAGCGTCAGAAAAGCTAAAGAAATTTGAAATTTGATGTCAGATTACTGAGCATGGCAGGGGTGGATCCAGCACTAGTGCACTAATTTGCATTACAAAACAAAATGGCTATTTTGGGCAGTTTTCTTGTGTCATGCAAATTAGTGCACTAGTGCTGGATCCACCCCTGGAGCATGGCTTGCCAATCCTCCCAATAAAAGCCTAACATTAATTTTAGACTTTGATCGCTTTCCAAGCTACTCTTACAAGCGGTGATATCGGACCTAACTACGCCGATGGCGCAATTAAATTCAACGACGTGGCTTTAAACATTGGAAAAGGCTAAAATCCAAGCACTGGAAAATTTACTGCTCCCATTGCAGGTCTTTACCAGTTCACTGCAACGTACCTTCAACGTGATGGATACAACTCTGGCGTAAAGCTAATGAAGAATAATAATATAATCAGTGAAATTCATGCAAACCACAAAACCTACGATCAACTGACAAAAACAATTTTTGTAGTTTTGGCAAAGGGCGACACATTCTGGGTTGAGTTGCGTATGTATGTATGTATGTATGTAAAACTTTATTTACTGACGCTAGCCTTGTCAACAGCAGTTGTTGATTTCCACAAGGGGCGTCATGACTATAAGAAAAGTACAATTACAAATAAAGAAGAAAGTGATAAAATAAAAACATAGCTATATACAAGAGATTAAGTTGGAGTGACCGGTGGTATATAAGGCCCACAGTTGATTTTATCTACCTATTAAATCGTGCTACAAAATATTTGAAAGAGTATATTGATTGCGCTTTCTTAGCTTCACGCGGAAGATCATTCAAAAGTTTAGCACCACTGTACTTAAAACTTTTTTTATGAAATTCGCGTCTCGGTTTAGGAAGGGCCAGATCAGTGTAAGAATTTCTAAGGTCGTAATTAGTTTGAAGAGAGTTCCTCGTCATCAACACCTCCTTCAAGTTTGGTGCACTGCAATTGTTCAGAATTTTGAGCAATAATATTGCCTTGCTCATAGCTCGTCTTGAATCTAAGTTTTCCCATTCAAGAGCCCGAAGAACGTCAGCAGACCTGATTTCATAACTAGCGTAACGGTAGTACCTTTTCCATTTATGGAAGCGGTCGATTTACCGAATTCGGTGGATTTCTTCTTTCAGCCAGTTTCCAAATTGAATCACAATGAGCAGAATTAAGCGCTCACTCACGCATGCACGCTTGCGTTCCCTGAAATGCTACTTACTATATCATTATATTATCCTAATTATTTTGCACGTTTTATATAATTTTATGATCACTTTCTATTAAAAAGTGACCAAAGTGCAAGGTCACAGCAGCATGCAAGGAAACAGCATGGTCACGGTAAAGATGTCCACGAATCTTTCAAGTGCATATGCAGGTCAAATGATTTAGAGAGCTTTAGTTGTTTATTTGTTTGTTTGCATGTTTGTTTGTTAGGTTGGTTGGTAGGTTGGTTGGCT